ATAATCCCACTCTTTTTTCTGGTTTTTTTTTTAAATGTTTATTTTATTAGTACATGTTTGCAGTTCTTGCAGTTTACAATCATCTTGGAGAGTGGTTACATCTATGTATCACAGGTGGCTTTTTTAAAAAATTTCCTTGCCCTACCTTTTTCCCCTCTCCCTCCACATCCAATTCTCCTATCCCATTTTTCATTCTTATTGATATTATTACTAATCTTAGCTCATGTTATGATATGTAATGTTTATATAAGCTGAGGTTATTAGGTTCCTGTACATGGCATATCTTATTTCCTCTTTCCTTCCTCCTCACGCCTTGCGCTTTTTCCTTCATACCACTTCCTTATTGTGAAAGATCCATCTCCTTGTCCCCTTCTATCCCTCTTTTATTTTTTTTGTACTCTGCCTCACTGAAATGAGAGCTACCATACAGTATCTAAACTTGTGTGTGTGGTTTATTTCACCCAACATTATATTTTTAAGGTGCATCCATTTTCCTACAGATGTTTGTCATTTTATTTGTGTGTGTGTGTGTGTGTGTGTGTGTGTGTGTGTGTGTGTGTTTTGTTTTGTTTTTTTAATTGAACTCAGGACCTTGTGCTTGCCAGGCAGGCACTGTGCCACTGAGCTATATCCCCAGCCCTGTCATTCTTTATAGCAGGGTAGTATTCCATTATATATAGATGCCACATTTTCTTTATCCAGTCATCTAGGTTGATGGGTATACAGGCTGTTTTCCATGATTTAGGTATTATGAGTTGTGCTGCTATGAACATTAGTATGCATGTATAGCTGCAGTATGATGACTTAAACTTTTGGGGGAAGACACCTAGGAGGGGGATCACTGAGTCTTAAGGAATTTCAAATCTCAGTTTTTTGAGAAATCCCCATACTGATACACTAGTTTTCACTCCTACCAAGAGTGAAGGAGGGTTCCTTTTTCACCAGAGCCTCCCTAGAATTTGTTAGTTTAATTTCTTAATGATTGCCATTCTTTCTGGAGTAAGACAGAATCTTAGCATTGTTTTACTTTCCATTTCTGTAATGGCCAGAGATGAGAGACAGAATCTTACTAAGTTGTGAAGTTGCCTAGGCTTGCCTTGAACATGCAACACTCCTGCCTCAGCATTTAAGAATGCTGGAATTATAGATGTCCAGTTTGAGAATTATTACAGTTAAAATTGAAATTCCTAGGCTGGCTTTGAACTTGTGATCTTCCTTTGTCAGAAAAGTGTGTGCCCGCATGCCCAACTGGTTTCTTTCACTTAGTATAATGTTTTTGAGGTTCACTCATGTTGTATTATGTTTCAGTATGTTATTCCCTTTTATGGAAGAGTAATAATTCTGTGTACATATCACTGTCCATTGGTAGACATTTGGGCTGTTTTTTGGCTGCTGTGAATAGTGCTACTGTGGTTTGTGTTTTGTTTTGTCTTGTTGTTGTTGTTGTTTTTGTTTTTTTTTCCCGTACCAGGAATTGAGCTCACGACCTCGCGCTTGCCAGGCAGGCACTGTGCCACTGAGCTAAATACCCAGCCCCCTGTTTTGTCTTTTTGAGACAGAATCTTACTATGCAGTTCAGGCTGGCCTTGAGCCAGTTTGTAGCTCAAGCTGGCCTCAAACTCATAACGATCCTCCTGCCTCAGCCTCCCGAGTCCTGGGATTATAAGCGTGCGCCACCACACCCGGCTCAGTAATGCCACTGTGAACATGCATGTATAAGTACTTACTTAAACACCTGTTTTCAGTTCTTTTGAACATACACCTACTGTAGTTTTAGCATTGTGCGATCAAATCATAATTCTATATTTAAGCTTTTTGAGGAGCCAATAAATTGTTTTCTGTAGCAGCTAAACCATTTTACATTACGTGTGTGTGTGTGTGTGTGTGTGTGTGTGTGTGTGTATCTCATTATGTAGTTCAGGCTGGCCTTGAAATCATTGTATAACCTAGACTGGCCTTGAACTTGTAGCAGTCCTGCCTCAGCCTCCCAAGTACAAGGATTACCAGCTATGTCACCACTTCAGCAGAGCTGGGGAACTTTAAAAATACAGAGATCTAATAATTTTGTATTTAATAAACATGCTAATTACATTTGATTGGAAGGGTGGGACTGATCCCTCACTGTAGAGTTTGAAAATTATATTGCATAGTTGATTCATTTTCATTATTTTTAATATTATACTCTATGAATATAGCACTATTTACTCATTGACCTTTGATGAACTTGTGGTGACTCCAATTTTTGACTGTTACAAATAATATTGTTATGAGCATCCTTATGTAGATTTTCTCATGCAGTTGGTGTCCACTGCAGGGTGTAAATCTAGGAATGGAATTGCTGGATGACAGGATATGTGCATCTTCAACTTTCATAATGCCATATAGTACTATTGTCCAAACTATTGTACTAGTTTATGTCCTGCCATTGCTGAATTTGAGTTTCTGCAGATTCTCTACTAAGGTGTGATTCTATTCTAAAATACATTGTTGTTGGAGGGGGGGTGATTAGGGATTTTGGCGAAGAGTCTTAATTGAAGTTCCGCTTACTCTAATAAGCTTTTATAGTTCAGTCTTTCTTTTTATACTTTTCCTGGGACATTTTCTTCCTCTTGATGGGAGGGAATAAAGGAAGAAGCACAGACTTTGAGTGGAATCTCACTGCTTATCAGTTTTGCTGTTTTGGCAAGTTACTTAATCTTTGTGAACCTATGTGTAAAGTGGGTTGGAAGAGTATCTTTTTTCTCTTTTTCACGTAGTTGATATTAGTACAAGGTGCTTTAATGTGTTTAAAAAGGACTTTACACAGTGCCTGATTCATAAGAGACTGTCAAGGATTAAATAAATATATATTGAAAATGTATTTTATGTTAGGCCAGGATTGGGAATTGAGAGATAAGCAGGACCTTTTGTACATTATTTTTGATACTGAAAAATTGGAAGCAATTTAGATGTCCAACAGTAACATTGGTAATTATGGTATGTTCATAAAATGGAGTGCCATGTAGATGTTAAGTCACATTCTCAATTAAAAGAGAAATGTTTGTGATAAGGAAAAAGTTACAATAGCATTAGCCCTGTCTTTTCATATAATTCATACACTGTATTCATTGCAGTTACTTTGTTGGTGGTCAAATTATGTTTTAATACTTTTCTACCTTAGGTATTTTCTGTAGTTACTAAATATACTGCAGTTAACATACCTTGCTACCATACATTATGTACTTTTAAAAAGGGTGAAAAATGTCTTCTAAAAAAAGTGTGTTAGAAGCCAGGCGTGGTGGTGCACACCTGTAATTCCAGCACTGGGAGGCTGAGGCAGGAGGATCGTTGCAAGTTTGAGACCAGCCTGGGCTACGAAATGAGTTCAAGGCCAGCCTGAAGTGCATAGTGAGACCCTGTCTCAAAAAGACAAAAAATAAAATAAAAATTTAAAAAGAGTGTTATCTAAATGAATACCATGAAATCGTTAGAAGAACATTGACTGTAAGTCTCACCAAAGGGCTGGGTGTGGTAGCATAAACCTATAATCTCAGTTTGTAATCCCAGCTCTTGGGAGGCAGAGGCAGGAAAATTGTTGCAGGTTCAAGGCCAGTCTGGGCTACATGGTGAATTCAAGGCCACCCTGAACTACACAGTGAGACCCTGTCTCAAAACAACAGGAATAGTTCATTCAAGGACTTCATTTTTTTGAATTCATATAAACATGGACTAGAATCGAATTTACCAGAATTGGGTAGAGGACTAGTTAGCATTGCGATTTTTCCATACTGATTATTTTCTATAAAGAATGTTAGGTGAACAATTGAAAGTATGACTTTCCATAAAACCCTTTTCTTGTCATCTTACAGTGGAGAGAAAACTTTCTCGCGACCATTTGGAGGTTTGATAATTGAGTCTACAGTGTAAACTGACAGATTAACAAAAGCTCCTTTTTACCTACGTGCATGTACACTGGAAGGAGAGAATGCACAGCAAATAAAAGCTTGGCATGGTGGGCTCATCTGTAATCCCAGCACTTTGGGAGGCTGAGGCAGAAGGATTGCAAGTTTGAGCCCAGCCTGAGTAATTTAGAGATTTAGCAAGGCCCTGGTACAAAAAGTAAATTTTAAAAAGGGCTGAGGATGTCGCTCAGTGCAAAGACCCTTGGTTCATTCCCCATTATTGAAGAAAGAAAAGAGAAGAGAAGAGAGAAGAGGAGAAAAAAGTATGCAGATAGACTCTCTTAGGTAAACTGCCTTCAGAAGCGTTGGTAGTACCCATCATAAACTGTCTGCTCCAGGTATCTGTCTCTAGTCTTCTTGGTCTGATAGTGGGACCTCAGAAAAAAAGACCTCTGCTAGCCTTGACTGTACTAATGTAGGTTTCCTCTATAGATGGAGGTCAGCTTTTCAGAGCTGTTACTGTTTTTGAACTTTCTCTGAACCAAATAGAAGTATGCCAAAGTATTAGATTTGGGGATTGCATAGTTTTTGGTCTCCACACCCTTTAAAAAGCCAAGTAGTAGCTCAGCTCTTCATTAGTTTGTATACAGTACCAGGGATTGAACCCAGGACTTTCATATTGAGCCACATCCCCAGCCCTTTTTTATTTTGATGTGGGATCTCACTAAGTTATTAAGATGCCCAGGTGGGGCTTAAATTTGTAATCCTCCTGCCTCGGCCCTATTGTGCTGGAATTATAGGCCTGCATAACCACACCTGGCTTCAGTTCTTCAGTTTTAGTTCAGCTTTGTATATACATCTAAGAAATTTTCATTAAGGAAATATATAAGCATCATTTCTTAAAAACACATGTCTGTCTATTGGTTTAGACTTAGATTGATTTTTTTTTTCTTTTTTAGAAAATGTTCCGTTAATGGCATTAACTGGGCATCTGACCAAAGAATGAACTTTATACTGTTGGTGGTACATGCGTGATAAGTTAAAATTTGAGAAAGTCATTTTGTCTTAAAAGACTGCTTGATTGCTAGAGTTACTAAGTCCCTAATTTTATCTGACCAGGGACTACTTTTAATTCCAAGGAGAAACTGGAAGCACAATGGGCGATGACAGTGAATGGTCAAAATTGCCGGTTGATCAGAAGTGTGAACACAAGGTAAGACTCTTGCATTGTCAGTTTCAGTGCCTCTCGGCGTATTTTCTTAGCACTCATACTATTACCTTAGAAACTCAGAAGCTGAGGCAGAAAAATCACAAGTTTAAGGTCAGTCTGGGCTATATAGTAAGACCAAAACCAAAACCAAAACAAAAAACTGAATATGAGAAGAACTCAAATAAGATACATTAGTGAAATGGAAAGCAAATCGTATCTTTAGAAAGTTACTAGCTGGGTCATTTTATTTTCAACTGTAGACAGTACAATATAGTTAGCTAGGTACATGGTAATATTTTTTTATTGTACAGAAGTCTTATTTGGCCTTAGAAGTCCAGCATTTTTTAGGTTCTCATATCTGTATTCCAATATCTACCTTTTGAAACTAACAGTCATTTTATTTTATTTTTAAGCTAACAAGACAATTTATGATGTCATGTTATTTACTGGGTATCTTTTTCTCAAATTATCTTTTTTCTCCAATTACATATCTGGTTGCTTTTTTTTTTTTTTAATCGGTACCAGGAATTGAACTCACAACTTCATGCTTGGTAGGCAGATGCTGTGCGGCTGAGCTGTATCCCCAGTGTTGCTTTCATTTTTAATCACTTTTTTTTTTTTTGAGATAGGATCTTGTTGTGTAGTATAGGCTGGCCTTGAGCTCACTGTGATCCTCCTGCCTCAGCCTCCTGAGTGCTGCGGTTACAGGTGTGCACCGCCAAGCCTGGCAATTTTTAATCATTTTAAGACAAACATCAATCAGTTAGTAAATTTATTCTACTTAAAGCTCTTAGGTTATCTATTTCATGTTCTTGACAATACTTTTAAAGTTTGTTTTGAAAAAAAAAAGTTTATTTTGAAGAATAGAAATTTGTAGCTGGGTAGGGTAGCACCTACCTGTAGTCCCAGCACTCAGGAAGCTGAGGCAGAAAGGTCACCTAGAATTTGAGGCCAGCCTGGGCTACATAGTGGATTCAAGGCCAGCCTGAAATACATAGTGAGACACCATCTCAAAGGGAAAAAAAATTGGAGCTTTGGTGCCTATGTTCTCTACAGAGCCACTCCCCTTTATCCTGTATAATAATATGTTAGTTGGGCGTGGTGGCACACGCCTGTAATTCCAGGAGGCTGGGGCAGGAGGATCGCTGTGAATATGTAGCATGACCCTGTCTCAAAAAAAAAAAAGTTACTTTCGGATAAGGCCAGATTAACAGCTAGTTTATTTGTACTGTATTAGCATAGAAATTGTTGGTATGTAGTACATTAAGTTTGAGGGAGAACTTTTAGAACTTTTTCTTTTCTCACTGAAAGAAACAAACAAATTGGGGGCTGGGGATTTAGCTCAGCGGCAAAGCGCCTGCCTGGCAAGCGCAAGGTCGTGAGTTCAGTTCCTGGTACCGGAGAAAAACCAAAAAA